AGGTTCGGCCAGATATACCGCTGTCGGATGACACGGTCTGTTACTTTAGCGTTCGGGTGCGCGGGGTTATGAAACAAGTCGAAAACCTGTCTTCTAAGAGATGCTGGAATGTAGGGCCTGATTGATTCCCCTGACAATTCGCAGTATAGCTCTGAGTTGGAAGAACCCCAAATGAACTTTTTTAATTTAAGCGAGGACGAGTTTGAGACTACCAAATGCTTTAATTCTTCATCCTCTTTTTGCCTAGCGGCGAGGTCTACTAATTCAAATTCGACCGGGAGGCGAAGAGCCTCGACACGAGATAGATTGTCAGCCACCACGTTCTCAGAACCTGCGAGATATTCAAACGCGGTGGTGAACTGCGCTATGTACGAGAGCTGACGTAGTTGCCTAGGAGAGGCTTTATCCGACCGTTGCTGAAAAGCGTAAACCAAAGGTTTATGGTCCGTCATGACCTTAAAGTTACGACCTTCGAGGAAATGTCTAAAAAACTTTATTGATTCATAAATCGCGGTCAATTCGCGGTCGTACGCGCTATAGTTCCTCTGCGCCGGAGTAAACTTTCTAGAGAAAAAAGCTAATGGTCTCCAACCGTCAGAGGTATACTGCTCAAGGGCCCCACCCATGGAAAAATCCGAAGCATCCGACACGACACGAGTGTCGGCCGAATTGGACGGGTGTGCTAATAACGCGGCATTAGCAAGGTCGGCTTTGGCCTTGTCAAACGCGGTTTCGGCCTCGAGAGTCCAGTTTATTTCGCGTTTATCATTTTTACGCGAGCCGGTTAAATATGTGTGTAGGGGGGCTTGTACGCGAGCGGCGTGTCGAAGGCTGCGCCTATAAAAATTTAACGCGCCCAAAAAACGACGTAGTTCCGCTACGGTCTTTGGCTTCGGGAGATCCCGTATGGCAGCCACTTTTTCCGGGGAGGGTTTCAGACCGAATTTATTTACGCGATGTCCGAGGAAGGTTAATTCCTCTACCCCAAAAACACATTTGGAAGGGTTGATAACTAACCCGTATTCCTTTAGTTTCTGAAACACCATGCTTAGATGCTTCCTATGCTCCTCCATAGAAGAGGATGCTATAAGAATATCATCTATATAAGCGAATGCAAAATCGAGATCCCGTAGGGCATGATGGATGTACCGCTGAAAGGTCTGAGCGGCATTCCGCAGACCGAATGTCATGGAGACGAACTCGAAAAGACCGAACGGCGTTATAACAGCCGTCTTCGGTATATCGACCTTTGCCATTGGAATCTGGTGGTATGCCTTGAAAAGATCAAGGGACGAGAAAACCGATCTACCCAGTAGATTAGAGGTAAAATCGTGAAGATACGGTATCGGATACTTATCCGGAATCGTGACGGCATTCAAACGACGATAGTCGCCGCAAAGCCGCCAGTCACCGTTACCCTTGCGGACGAGGTGGATTGGACTAGCCCAAGGACTGCTGGATGGCCTACAAATGCCTAACTCAGTCAGCCTTTTAATTTCAGCCTTCGCTGCCTTTAACTTATCGGGGGGTAACCGGCGTGGTCGTTCCGCGACGGGAGAACCGCTAGTCGCGATATGGTGTTCGACAGCACATGCGGCAGGCAAAAGCGCCTGACCGCTCCCGGAAACCTCAGGGAATCCCGAAAGTATGTCCGCAAATTTATTATCGTGACTGACCAAAGAAATTTTAACTTCTGGTACAGCCAGTAACTGTCCGGCCGACGACAACGAGGTAACGCTGTCGACCAGACGACGCTTGTGCAGGTTGACAATTAGCTTATAGTGCGTCAACACGTCTGCACCGAGGATCGCAAAGGGCACGTTCGCTACGCGAAAATTCCACACGATAGGACGCCGCAAGCCTAGATCTAGAGTAAGAAGACGCTCGCCGAACGTATCAATTACAGTGTTATTTGCTGCGAAGAGTTTCAGTTCAGAAGGCGTATTTTTATCGCGCAAGGACGCTGGGAGTATTGATATCTCCGCGCCCGTATCAACCAAAAACCGTTGACCGGTAGTCCGATCGAAAACGTGAAGACGGTTTTGTTTATGCCCCAAATCCCCGACCGTCTCTTCGCGGGGAGAGCGGTTTAGTTTTCCGCCGCGTCATCTTTCCACGAGCAAGGCTTGCGGCAGGACGTGGCTTTCTTCCCGTATTTACGGTGAATGTAGCAGTAGCCTGCCTTGTCATCAGACTCATCTGCTTCATTACCACGCTTAGACTTATTACGCGTACGGGATGTGGATCGTTCGCGTCGCATCTTGGCGACCGAAGTGCTCAAAGATTGGATCTGTTTAGTTAATTTATCAAACCGCTCCTCGACGCTCAAAGGAGCTTTAGAGCGGGATTTCCTAGACCCTTTCCCCGGCGTCACGACCGCGACGGCGGTGCTAGGACCGTTAATGTCAGCTAGCTTGTCCGCCAATTCGGCTAACTTATGTAAGTCCGAACTATCAGCCGCGACTAAGAGGGCTTTATGCGCTTCTGGCAGAAGCTCAATGAACAGAGATCTCAAAACGGTATCACTGCACTGCCCGCCGTTGAGCTGTTTCATTTTATTTAGCAGGTGCGAGGGTCTCTGGTCCCCCAAAACCTGACCTTTAAGAAGTTGACGTAAACGGGCTTCCGGTGAAACCACGAACGTCGCGAGTATCCGATCTTTGAGCTGCGCGTACAGATTGGCCGGTGGCGGTTCCGCCGTAACTAAATCTAATACATGCGCGATTGTTTCCTCGTCGATGCCAGTAAGCAGGCAATCGGCCTTTGTACGATCGACAGTGATACCCGCTGACCGGAAGGATGCTTCGATTTGAACGAACCATGCTTCCGGTGACCGACGCCAGAAGGGCGGAATCTTCGGCACCCGGTACGCTTCTACGCGCGCGTCTTCGTTTGGCATGATTAAACCACGCGACGCGTATCGCGAACCGAGACAAAATGAGAGGAAAGAAAAGAAACTGAGGAGAAATACCAGGACGAGGCAAAGCATATGCCTCAACGGTCTCGAAGTTCTGGAAGCGGCGTCGTCCCTCGCAGGAGGTAGAGCCTGGACTCGAGACGTAGGCGAGAGGAGGGTAGATGCGCTATCCTGCGTCCCGCCGGACGGCGGTGCCTGCTGGATGCGCTGCCAGGGGCGTCTCTCAAGGCCGCTGTTGCGTGCGCGCCGGGGGCTGAATGCGCAACGCGTCCCGTTGGTGTAGTCCTCGTGCGCCGCGGTATGGTCCCGCGCGCTGTTGGTATGGTCCTGTTGGCCGGTCAAGTGCGCCGAAATGGCTGCGCGGCGCGCGTCCGCAGAGATAGCTGCGTAAGCGCGAAAACGTCCGCCGGGATGACTACGCCGGCACAAAGAAGTCCGCCGGGATGACTGCGCGGGATGCGCGTCCGCCGGGGTGACTACGCCGGCACAAGTCGTGCACTGACCTGGGTGCGCCCTTAACCTGGCTCGGCCGCTTCGTCGGAGATGCCTCAGAACGGGATCCCGCCGATTTGAGTCCGTACATGGAGAACGACCGATCTTGCGTCACCCAAAATGGCCTCCCTCGGGCGGTAGTAGACTCGCCCGAAGTCTCGGGAAGGCCCAATGGACTTGCCCAGGCGTCGGTGACGCCAAAAATTTTGGGCAGTCCGAGGATCCTCGCGCCGATAGGGCGTGGTTGAGTTCCTCTTAGTGCTACAGGTCAATCCCCGAACCGAGGGATGGCCTGAGCCTCGCCGTTGATCCCAGTTCCGCCGATGCGAGCGTGAAAGGCGCGGATGCGCGATCACGTCGGGGTCACCAATTGTGGGGGCTTGTGGTAATATTTACAGCCCGGCTGAAGTGCCCACAATTACTTCCTTGCCGATAGCTGATAGCGAAGGCGGGAATAACTCACTCATGGTATTGAAGATATGAGAAACTTTATTTGAGATCTTAGGTACACGGTAAGGTGATCAGTCTTGACCGTGACACAGGCGAGTAACGACTAAAGCCTATCACACAATGGGAAAGCACAGGGAATAGGAATAGGGAATAACACAGGCAACAGAAATAACTAAATTCCAACTTACCAGAAACCGTGCATCGACGCACAATGGAATATGGAATAGGCAATAGGAACAGAATATCCGACGCGTTGGATTTCTATTCCCTATTCCCTGTGCCTGACCAATCACAGTCGAGACTCTGGGACAGGCAAGTGGTTTGAAGAACTTTGCAGGTTATAATTTTCGTAAATACTTTTGAAGTGCAAACGCTATGTCAGCGATGTATAATCACGAATATTGCAAATTGAACAAAAAATTCAACACATCGATAGAGGCTGACAACATAGAAGAAGACGAGATAGCTAATATTGATATAGAATGTATGCAAAGTGAAAAAGTAGGCGATGAATTGTTAATAGATCTTGTGAGATCTCGCCCATTTCTATATGACAAAAGTTTGCAAGAATATCGTGATCCGAGCATGAAGGAAAATGCATGGGCAGAGATCTCTTCTGTCATAAATATGTCAGGTAAATATGTGTATATGTATACATATATATATGTATGTATGTATGTGTAAGACTTCTCTACTAAAATTTCCTGTTGCTTATATCTAATTCTATTTTTGTATAAATGTTTATTGTAGCATCAGAGTGTCAAACACGTTGGGTTCGTCTTCGCCAACGTTTTAGTAAAGAAAGACAGCAGCGAGAGCTGGAAACAAGAAGCGGAGCAGGCAAACCCACGAGGCAAAAATGGTTTCTATTTGATAACCTAAATTTTTTGAGCCGATTTGTCTTTCAGAGAAAGTGAGTCTTAGTTTTCATTACAAGAATGATTATAGTTGACACAGAATAATACATCTATGATATAATTGCACAATAGACTGTGTCATATTTAATTTATATTGTTGAGTGCGAAATTATAGCATATAGATGTAATTTGTGTAATGTAACTGATGCTGTATATTGACTGGGATATTTGTTTATGAAGAACTTTCATGATTTTAGAAGTCTTAGTAATGTCGGTACAAAAGTCAATATGAATCAAAATTATGTTCAAAACCAATGTTACCAGGATGACATCAACGTTACGGTGGGAGAAGTTATTCTTTTAAAAAAATTACATTTAGTTAGTTAATCTTTTTATTCACTAAGTGAATTCTTTTTAGCCAGCGGCATCGATGGTTTTGCAAGCACCAGTATGTTCGCCGTTACAGCAATCCACTCCTTCGCCATTACAGCAATTAACTACTTCGCAGTTACAACAACCACCTTCGCCGATGTTAAGATCAATTCCTTCACCGTTGCAACACTCAAATCCGCCGATACTAAGATCAACTCCTTCGCCGTTAGAACAACCACTTTCGCCGATGCAAAGGTCGGTAAAAGTGCCGAATAGGGGACCCAGCTCCTACGACCTTGACCTTCAAGGTCAAGGTCAAGGTCACCCTCCTGAGTGACCCTCAGAAGGTTTTAGCCGTCGCTCGTTGCTCGTTAAAAAGTTATTAACAAAAAATGTTTAACGATGGTTTTTAATATTTAAGTTGCAGGTGCGTTTAGCACGGCGCGCTGCGCGTGCCCCACCCCCTCCCGCCCCCGCCCCACCCCCGCCCCACCCCCGCCCCACCCCCTTCCCCGGTTAACTGTTCTGTAAAGCAGATAATTTTCCATCATTTGTAAGTCCATACGC